GGTCTCAGGACACAGGTGTTGAATACACCGATGATTTGGTGAAACCGTGAATGCATCTGCTAATGCCAAATCAAGAAAAAGACACTAATATCTGACGACAATATAAGCTGGCAGATGTACCAGTCTAAATTCCAAATGGTTTTAAATCCTCCAATGATTACATAAAACTTTATCCAGGCAAAATGTTTAAAGAAAGATAATATCTAGTATTAAACCTTAATTAGAATAAAAGAAGGACTAAATATCAAACACCAACACCTAACCAGAAAAATGCAAAATAGTTATATAAAAAGGATTTTTACATTTATTTATGTTTTAAAAATGCTCAAAGGTTTTTATGTGTTAGATCAGACTCCAAGCTCTATATTCTAACACCAGCTCTCCCATTAAAATGATCCCATTTCAATAGAAAGGTTATTTTTAACTACAGATCAGATAAATCTAAAGTAAAGACTGAAAAATAAAACAATGTCTGGATTATTCTGAAACGTATTCAATTTTCTCTTTCATAACTCACAGGTCTTTTTGCGTAGGCTATTTCTTTGTGTCAAAGGGAACAAATCACAGACACAGAGACAAGTAGCTGTTCTTTTTCCACATTTTCATACATGGAATAACGTCATCATTGAAGCCGTCATCGAAAGTGTGAATATGGTCCAGCTTGTCACCTTTGACTATGTAATAGGACAAAGTCCCAGCTTCCCATCTCAGAAACACCCCAATACGGGAGAAGCCAGTTTTGGGGACAGATTTCGTCTTGTATTCGTTGTCGTGCTCCATGTAGAACTCCAGCTCTGGTTTCCACTTCCACCCCAACGACCAGCTACTTGGACTAAACCCAATGTTATTATGTTTACTACGCGGCCCTTTCCTCTGTAGCGACTCATAACAGACACCAACGCCGATATCTATACCCTCGTCAGTGTTCACCTCCACCTCCCAGTAGTGGTCCCCTCTCAGCTTCTCTTTACACATAATCTGAAACTGTTCATCAAATCTCTTATGGTTATCAGAGCGATCCTTCTGCTTCTTGTCTTCGTGTTCCAGGGTCTTGTTATCAGTGACTTTGAGGTTTGGATGCGCTGTTTCTGGATCCAGGTTGACATCACAGGCATCTGAGGGAGAAAAACAGAAAAACCTGATGAAGATGATGGATTTGTAAAATATACAAGTGGAGATCCTATCAACTTGATGACATCCTTCAATGGCATTGTGTGTCAGTAAGGAATGATTGTCCGTGGTGACGGGCCATGTCAGCAATAAAGGTAGGAAACACGATCCACTCTGATTCTTTGTCCACAGCCTTTCCCGAGAGTCTAGAAAAGGTATTTTTGAGGTAAACCTCTGACCAAGACTCTATCAGCCATTCCTAGCAGGACCTTACTTAATGTCTGACGGGTTTGCTCCCTACCCACCAGATCGGACTGGTGGGTAGGGAGCAAACGGACTTTTCCTTAATGGGCCCTCGGCTGTTTCCCTACAATTCCTTTTTAAAAATCAATCTTTGTACTAAAATTTGTGTCATGATTTCTGGACATTGAGATCAAAAGGGAAGCATCATCTTCTGGTCAGATCCTGTAATTCAGTGAAAGGGTGGAGTCAGAGTAATAAATATCCATGCCCAGAAGGTATACCCCGCCTCTCGCCTATAGACTGATGGGGATAGGCACCACACCCACTGCAACCCTGACAGGTGAAGTGGGAGAAGATGAATGAAGGTGACCCTTACTGATAAAGTTTACTGTTTCTTTTTAACTTTAAAAGGAATAATGCACCAGTCTGAATGAGAGACGACTATCACCAGACATTGCTTAGTCACATTAGAGACAGTTAATAAAGGAAAGGTCTACTTACACCAGATCAAAGTTTTTCTGTCTTCTATTTTCTTCACATTTGGAACACGTGGCTTGGAGAAATCATCAGTGATCTGCTTGCCGTTTCTGTAGTGGTAGATGGTCGCTCCTTTGAATTTGTCATTTCTGATGGCCGTTACAAGGAATTTGAACCCTTTGCTGTTCTTCAGAACTGTGGCGAGTTCCCCAAACTCCCTGGCTTTTTCTCTCATTTGTCTTGTCACCTCGTTGGACATGTACCAAAGACCATGAGTTGATGGACTTACGTCTTCAATTTCCTGGACATTGAGTGAATTCAGGTAGTCGGTCATCTTCTGAACATAGGGATCTGTGTCGTCCAGGGAGGTGAAGACAAAGCAGAGAAAATCCTCTTCATGATCCTGGACCTCAGCAGTCAGGTCCGACTCTTTCAGGATGATCTTTGCATCTTTCATTGCCTCCACGTAGGAATCGATCACGCTGGTTTCTCTTTCACTGTTTGTCATCCATTTCTCTAGTTTTTCAGAAGAGAGCAGAGAGTTGTCTCTGTCTATGAATAACTTCAGTAACTCCTTCTCTTCTTCCTTGCCAGCTCTGATAGCCGGGAGTTTCTTTGCGTATGTTTCTTTAAGTTTATTTGCGTAACAGTTTGAGGCATTTTAGAAGTTTGTCAATCTCTCAAAAATGGGCGGGAAAGAATGGCTGTCTTCCAGACAGTCGTTGCATCTCATCTTCAGGGTGTGAAAATCTTCCCGGGCATCTTGGACCTTTATGGCCATGCCAGGACTGAGCTCGGAAACAAGCTCAGCAGCCGACGGAAGCAACTTTTTCAGCGGCATCATCCAGACCTTCTGTGGACAACTGTTTTCATTGTTTTCTCCCAGCAGTTTTGGAAGGTGTTTGTGGTCTTCAGAGCTTCTGTGAATGTTGTAGGGTTGCTTTTAGGAATTACGTCCCCATAGAACTTGCAGGTAAATTTCTCATTCAGAGATCTCTCTTCCTTAGATTGTTTGACGCTAACTTCAGCTTCCATTTCAAAGCTAGCCTTGCTAACTGCAGCTTTAACGTTTCCCTCCATCTTCTTTTTACTGCTCACATCTAATTTCTGACTGTCAAACACAAAGAAAGCATTTACGCCATAACTGATAGCAGTGACCACGTGTGTAGCCATACTCATCAGGTCATCATCTACTCTCAGATGGGTCTTCATCTCAGCAGGAGACATGGTGAGGTGTTTGTAGACGGTACTAGCTTTGTATTGAAGCGTCACTCTACACTGATGTTTGGATCTTTTCTGATCATTCAGGTACTTCAACATTTGATCCTCCAACTTTAACCAATCCACCCATGAAACTGGCCTTCAGGGAGGCACTGACGTCCATCACAGAGGACCTCTCCTCCAAGGAATCCGAGGCGGAGATTTTAAAATCACTGCTCTGGTGATTCTCCTCTTCGGTCATGTCCTCTAGAGTTTTGTCATCCCACAGTGTGACACCTTTAAGGCATTAAATCACAAAGAAAAGATGTTACCAGCCTCATAATCTATTCTTTTAACTGCTAATATTGAAAGAATTCTACAAAATTACAAGACTTTTCTGGAGGAGACCAAAAGTTATACATTTAATAGGAACTTGTTGTGCACTCTTCTATGGTGGTTTAGGAAACATTAAAGGGAATTATGTTTTGTGACTGAGGTTAACATGGCTTCATCTTTTTTCTAATTAAATTAGAAACAGGAAGTTCTTATTTTTAAGCTGTGTCAACGCAAGTAGAAGACTAGTGTCTTATCCGATGCCATCCTCTGACCTGCAGCTGCTTCAGTGGAATCCTCAGTAAGTTTTTAGGATTGGATCGCAATGTTTCAATTTTTCTTAACCCCCAAACCCCAGAAGTCATTTAGACGTTGGTTTTTATGCTAAATCTGGTCGATCCGTCGTAGTCTTTATTTAGTGCAGAAATAATTGTTGAAAAATTGGGCTGTGTTTGGACGGTCTGGTTTGGACCTACCTTAGTCCAATAGTAGACGTTGAAAAGATGTTGCAAACCCAGTTCTCACTTTTCAACGCTAGGCTTAAAACTTTTCTTTTTCCTTTTTTTATAGTTAGAGTGGCTCAGGTTATCCTGAGCTATCTCTATAGTTCTGCTGCTATAGGCTTAGACTGCTGGAGGACATAGGGACCCCTTTTTCATCATTCTGCTTAATTCTATCTCTATTCTCCCACTCTGCAGAATCTGTTAGTTCAATCTCTAACGTTCTGCTCTCTCTGCTTTTTCTCGTAGTAGCTTCATCTGGTCTGTTCCTGTTTGGCTGTGACTCCATCCTGGAGAGAAATATCAGCTGTGCTGCTGCCATCAACACCTTTGTTTCTAGATGTTGGAGCTTGGCCTGTTTTCCAGTGTAGTCCTGTTTCTCTGACTGTGACTAACTGGATGTGCTCTCTTCATCCTCTGACATGGGAGCTGGTGTAACTGAGTTAATTAGATTATTTTATTTGATGAACCTTCTCAAAACACCTTTTTTTGATTAATATACATGTTTGTTGTTATTTCTGTTTTATACTGCTTTTATTTAAAATTATTTATGTTTCAAACTCATTTTTCTTTGTTTTTCTTGGGTTCTGTATGATATTTTATTTTGGAGGAGAAGCTTTTATTTTTTTCGCTTCCGGTGTCCGTGTCATATCCTCTGTATCCCCGCTGCCCTCCTCAGTTCGCGCTAAGCTGCGCTGAGGAGAGGTAAGTGTATAGAATGGTCTTCTGTTTGTATATTAAATTGTTCTAATATCCTGAAAAGTATTTCTTCCTAGCTCATAATTCGTAAATATATTGTTGATTAGCTGTTTTGTGCAGCACAGTACTGGCAGTTACATTCCCACAGCAGTAACTTTTGTTGAGGTTACTGTGGCAACATGGTTATTTCTGTTATTTTGGTTTGTTAAGGTGCATGTGGGAAACTGGAGCCCAGAGTTGCTGTGCTGAATATGTTCTTGTTCTAAACAGGTATGTGAGTAATTCAAAATGTTATTTGGATGTCAAATTTATTTATTTAGTATATTTTTTATATTATATCGGAGAATTGTAATGATTGGGCAGATTATTTTTGTTTGGGTTTTATTTTGTTTTGTATGCAGATTTTACATAATTATCATTTAATTTTTATAAATGAGAAATATTATTTTTATTATTATTATTATAATTAATTCATTTTATTATTATTTAACCTCTGTGAGAATTTTGGTTTGTTTTAATGCATTTTGAGTTCGCGCCAAGCTGCGCTGAGGAGAGGTGCATGTGGGAAACTGGAGCCCAGAGTTGCTGTGCTGAATATGTTCTTGTTCTAAACAGAAATAAACCGAAGCAAGTCTGATCTCTTCGACTCTTCATTCCACGACTGTTACATCTGGTGCCGTGACCCGGATCCATTGGTTAGCCGCTGCCGACCGCCGAGGGTTCAGCTGTGTGCCAGTGACGCTGATGTCATCAAGTTGGTCGGCCTGTGGATCCTGCTCATTGTTGTTGAGGTTGCGATCACTTTTCTGAACACAGAGACTTAAGACATATATCAAACCACTATATTAGTTAGATTAAAGCCATTTTTTGTGTATGTGAATAGTGAAACTATTTTGGTTTAATTTTTTTTATTACTGCTTTTTTACTGTGTGCAGTATGGCAGGCAGAGGTCATAGTACCTTTAATGTTTTCACACCAGTAGTTGGTCGTGGCAGAGGGCTGTTAGCCCAGAGTAGTACTCACGTGATTGATGAGGGGTCATCAGAAACAGAAGAGATTATTGAAATACCTCCATTAGAGCCCCAGTTTTCCACCCCTGTAAATAATAATGAAAACACCATACGACAGTTACGCGACCTCATTGGTGAGATAGGGAGCCAAATAGGTGAGGCCATTACCAGCCGTCTGTTAGACAGCGGATCTCATGTTACTCCAGAGAAGCCTCCACCATCACAGTCTGCACGGAGTGAAACATCTAACACAGTGTTTGATCTCTCAAAAATGAGCCTGGTGGTGAAATCAGACATTAAAGAGCCTCCTATCTATCGTGGTGATGGTGATGATAGGATCTCTGTTCATGAGTGGATAGAAATAATGGAGGTCTACCTGCGCAAAAAGGGATTCCCAGCTGAGGAAAAAACTGATGAAATCCTGAACCACCTGCTTGGCAAGGCAAAAAGCATTGTTAAGATCGGATTAAAGAGTGCTCCTTCCACCACACCTGTAAACCCTGAGGCAGTTTATAGCATTCTGAGGCGCTATTTTAGCGACATTCCTGGATCTTGCTTACCACTGGCTGATTTTTATGCTACTCAGCCGATGGCTAATGAGACACCAGTAGACTACTGGGTTAGACTTAACACAGCTGCTGAAAACGCTGACAAACACTTGAAAGATCAAGGAAGCAGCCTGAATAAAATGGATACAGAGATAGCAATGATGTTCATCAGAAATTGTCCTGATTCTAGTCTCGCCTGTGTTTTCAAGTGTAAGCCCACCACTAAGTGGACATTCACTGAGGTGCAAGAGGCCATTGATGAGCATCAACGAGAGCAGCAAGTGAAGAGACCACACGCAACTGCCCCAAAAGCAAAAACACTCCAGATTGCCACTGCAGTAGCAGCACCTGACCACTCAGAGCTTGAAGTAGAATGTAGGCAAATGAACACTGCCAAAATTACTCCTATCAGTTCTACCAGCCCAAATGATCGCACCGCAGAGTCAGGTGCTCTTGAACGGATGTTAACTATGCTTGAAAGAGTATTAGAACGCACTGCCCAGCCTGTTGGCGATACTCAGCCTCAGTTCTTCCCTTCCAGTCGACCGACTCCATGTCAAGTATGTGGCAACAGTAACCACTCTACACGGACACACTGCATGAGAGAGAGAAGATGCCTGGCCTGTCTCGAGATTGGACATCAGCGAAGAAGCTGTCCAAAATTCCCTAACACTCAGCGAGTTGGAGGCTCTATTGACCAGGGAAACTAAACCACTCACACTTGAGAGGGCACTGTGTGAGTGAGTATGATGAGTCCCTCACCCCAACAGAAGACATAAAGGTTGTGTATACAGAAAGTTTGAAATCTGCTCCAGCCAACACCCATGTGTTGTTTCAAAACATATCCAGACTAGAAAAGGCTGACAGCCTCTTTTACACTGATGCACAGGTTGGGGATAAAGTGTCATTGCAAGCTCTTTTAGACACTGGCTCCATGGCCTGCACTATCAGCGTAGAAGCTGAGCAACTTCTTGAGAATGCAGGGCTTACATCCCAGCCTGATTGTGATCGTAATGACATTATTCTTGTAGGCTGTGGAGGAGTTCAAGTAAAGCCCAAATGCATCCATGAATTAAAAATGGAAGTATATGGATGTTCATTTATTGTTCCAGCTTTAGTGGTGCCTGGGCAGAAAGATCAGCTGATTTTGGGCACAAATGTCATCAAACACCTCCTAAACCAGTTCAAACATTCTCCTCACTTTTGGCAAGTTATGAGTAAACCAGAGTCTGCCCAAACACCAGAAGTCATAAAGTTTCTTAGTATGCTGTCTGGCACTGAAAGATGGAGAGGTGATGTGATCCCAGATTTTATTGGGACAGCTGAACTGGTGCAGGCAGTCACTCTTCTCCCAAAGCAAGAACATTTGATTTGGAGCAGACTCCCTAAAAACTCGCCTCTCTCCGAGGGCAGTGCCATTCTAGTTGAACCATCACCCAAAACACAGATGCATAAAAAAGACATTATTGTCTGTAGATCAGTGTCCTCCATGAATGGTGATAGGTGGGTCCCAGTGCGCATTCTAAACACCTCTGATAAGGCCATCATATTAAAACGCCATACCAAAGTAGCGGAGGTGTCCACCTGTATAGCCCTTGAAGATATGGATGTGATCCCTGAGCAGGTGCTAGATAAAAAATTCAGTACCAACAATCAGACAGTGAAAGATGACAAAACAATCAGCTCAGATTCTCTCTGCACCAGCTTCCGTGACACTCTGAGTAACTTGGGGTTAGAAGATCTGGACATTGACTCTTGTGAGGTGGGTGATTACTGGAAGTCAAAACTGTTGCAGTTGGTCCAGAAATATGAAGGCATTTTTTCAAGAAGCAAACTTGATTGTGGGCTGGCCAAAGATTTTGTCCACCGCATCCGCCTCTCAGATAATCGACCATTTAGGCTTCCATATCGACGTGTTCCACCAGGGCAGTACCACAAGCTGCGACAAGTTCTCACAGAGATGGAAGAACGGGAAATCATTCGCAAATCTAACAGTGAGTGGGCGTCTCCTGTAGTGCTGGTCTGGAAGAGGAATGGAGATCTTAGGATCTGTGTGGACTATCGTTGGCTAAATGCTCGTACAGTTAAGGACGCTCACCCGTTGCCACACCAGTCAGACTGTTTGACGGCTTTGGGTGGCAGTGCCATATTCTGTGCCATGGACCTCACTTCTGGTTTTTATAACATAGCCATGGCTGAAGATGATAAAAAACTAACAGCCTTCACCACACCCATGGGGTTGTATGAGTTTAACAGGCTGCCTCAGGGCCTCTGTAATAGTCCTGCCAACTTCATGCGCCTCATGATGAACATCTTTGGGGATCAGAACTTTTTGACCCTGCTTTGTTATTTGGACGATTTGCTTGTTTATGCTCCCGATGAGGCAGAAGCTCTGAGGAGGCTTGAGATTGTCTTCCACAGGCTGCAGGTCCATGGCTTGAAACTAGCCCCCAAGAAATGCCATCTATTAAGAAAGAGTGTGAAGTTTTTGGGCCATTTTGTGAGTGAAAAAGGTGTGTCAACTGATCCTGAAAAAGTACAAGCTGTTGTTGCTATGACTGAGTCTGATTTGATGATGGAGGATGGTGTTACACCCTCACAAAAAAAGATTAAGTCATTTTTGGGGATGGTGATGTACTACCAGCAGTTCATACCAGACTGTTCCCGCATTGCAAAACCATTGTTCACTTTGACTGCCGCACCCAAGGGAAGGAAAGTCAATGGACGGGGCGCAGCAACATTTAAGAAATTACATCCAAGTGACTGGAGAGGAGAACATCACTGTGCATTTGAAGAACTAAAGAATGCGCTGCTGGAGACTGTGGTGCTCGCACATCCTGATTTCAGTCGCCCTTTCATTCTGTCTACAGATGCCTCACAGGATGGGTTGGGGGCGGTTTTGTCACAGGTCCAAGAAGGTGAGAGTAGAGCACGACCCATTGCCTTCGCCAGTAAAGCTCTAACACGCGCCCAGAGTAAAGTTACCCTGCTCATCGCCTTGAGTTTCTGGCGTTGAAGTGGGCTGTTTGTCATAAATTCAGTCACTGGCTAAAAGGGCATACTTTCACCGTCTGGACTGACAATAATCCCCTGACATACATCCTCACAAAACCCAAACTTGATGCATGTGAGCAACGATGGGTTGCCAAGTTAGCACCATACAACTTCAGCATCAAGTATATACCTGGCAGTAAGAACATCGTTGCTGATGCTCTCAGCAGAAAGCCTTTTGTGCAGGGTCGTGTCTGTCAGCGGATTTTGAATGAGCCATATGGGGACCTCATGGGGGAGTCCCAAGAAGTTCAAGAAACTTTAATTCAGGATACCTTCAGGATTGGGGTCAACCACCAGAACATTCTTCATACAGTCCCATTGAGTGAGCTGAAAAATCAGTCCCTATCTGATTGTGAAGTATCTGCAGTGTTGGTTGGTCATATGGAGTGGGATGAAGGTTCCAAGCAGAGAGTGGTTTCATGGCTGGCCCAGGATCTGGAGAAGTTGGCCCAACCAGGTGAAAACCCCCTACCTGTTTTTTCACTTCAAGAGCTTCATGATAGTCAGAGGAATGACCCTGTCCTGTCTCATGTCATCCCATTTGTCATTCGAGGGAGACGGCCTTCAAGACGAGAGAGAGCTGGGTTACCTCTGAAAGTGCTCAAAATCCTAAAACAGTGGGATAAATTGAAGATGTATGATGACATCCTGTACAGAGTTTGCAAAGACCACTTGACAGGGAAGAAGCGACATCAGTACATGACGCCCTCCTGTTTGATCAGCCAAGTCCTCAGTGGTGTGCATGATAATGCTGGCCACCAGGGTCAGAGTAGAACTTTATGCCTCTCAAGACAAAGGTTCTTCTGGATCGAAATGGAACGAGACGTCAGAGACTATGTAAGATGTTGTAAGCGTTGTGTTGTTAGTAAGACATTGGAGCCTGAAGGAAGAGCACAGCTCGAAAGCATCAAGACCACAGGCCCATTGGAGCTCGTTTGTCTGGACTTCTGGTCTGCAGAAGACTCCAATGGGAAGAGTGTGGACGTGTTAGTGGTGACAGACCACTTCACTAAGATGGCTCATGCCTTCAAGTGTTCAGACCAGTCTGCTAAACAAGTTGCACGTCAGTTGTGGGATAAGTACTTTTGTGTATATGGCTTCCCACAGAGAATACATTCAGACCAAGGGGCGAATTTCGAAAACCAGCTTATCCATGAGCTTCTTCAGATAGCAGGGGTGAAGAAATCTAGAACAACACCCTACCACCCTATGGGGAACGGTCATACTGAGAGGTTTAATCGGACTCTAGGAAACATGATTAGAGCATTGCCTCCCAGAGAAAAGCAAAAGTGGCCTCAGATGCTGCAAACACTGACATTCGCTTACAACTGTACTGCTCATGAGTCGACCGGCTATGCCCCATTTTTCCTTATGTATGGTCGGGTGCCTAGATTACCAGTAGATGTCATGTTCCACAGTGTGGAAAGAGACAATGACATTACAGACTATGACAGTTATGTTAAAAGGATGAGAGATGACCTCAAGGAAGCCCTTCAGGTTGCTCAAATTAATGCTAGTGCAAAACAACAGCGGCAGGCTGAGCTCTACAATAAAGGTGTGAAGGGTGCTGACATCGAAGAGGGTGATCAGGTCCTCCTAGCCAACAGGGGTGAACGTGGGCGGAGGAAACTTGCTGATAGGTGGGAGTCGACCCTGTACACTGTGATCTCGAAAGATTCAAGATGTCACACTTATCGCATTGAAAATCCTGACAATGGACATGAAAAAGTTGTTCACAGAAATTTGCTTTTACAAGCCAGTTTCCTGCCAGTAAACGTGGATCATGAGACAGAGCCTTCTTTCTCCAGTGTTGGTCAGGAGTCTCAGGAGGCTGAGAGAAACCTGTTTTTGGAGGAATTAAAAAGTCACAAATCCGAGCGCACTGCTAGCTGGGTTGCAGGGGCCACCCCTTCGGAGAACTTCTCAGAAGGAAGGCACACAGCCCTTGATGCACCTTCAGTTCCCCTTGCCGATTCTGAGCCCCCTGTTTCTGAGCTGCACACAAGTGACTACAATGGAAAAACTCTGAGTGTTAGAAGTGTATCGGAAGGTTGTCTTGGGGAAGCAGCAGAGGCTTTATTCGATGTTCCTCTGGCAGTGACCACCCCTATGGACCAAATTAGGACCAGAGTGGGCAGGGTAGTGAAACCAGTGAATAGGTTAATTCAGAATATGACACAGAAAACCAAACAAGGAGGTTTTGTGGTTGGTGGGTTAGCCAAGACTCTGTTTCAGTAACACCTTATTGTTCACTTAGGATATTACCCTTCACTATGGACATGGAAGTTTATTTTATTACTTTCATTATGTGTGTCAAGATAAGAGTTCTTTGATAATTGAGTAGAGAGTGTGTAGAAGGCACATTCTTATGCAAGTGGACGTTAAAAGTCTGGCCATCTCCTTAATGTCGCTTTCTATTGCAATATAGAAACCCTTTGGTTGCATAGTGATTATCCGAGAAATATAGCTGAGTTTAGCTGGTATTATCTTGTATGCTGCTTCTGATCTGACCGGAGCTGTTTTGAGAAGTTCAGGGGGGAGTATGTAACTGAGTTAATTAGATTATTTTATTTGATGAACCTTCTCAAAACACCTTTTTTTGATTAATATACATGTTTGTCGTTATTTCTGTTTTATACTGCTTTTATTTAAAATTATTTATGTTTCAAACTCATTTTTCTTTGTTTTTCTTGGGTTCTGTATGATATTTTATTTTGGAGGAGAAGCTTTTATTTTTTTCGCTTCCGGTGTCCGTGTCATATCCTCTGTATCCCCGCTGCCCTCCTCAGTTCGCGCCAAGCTGCGCTGAGGAGAGGTAAGTGTATAGAACGGTCTTCTGTTTGTATATTAAATTGTTCTAATATCCTGAAAAGTATTTCTTCCTAGCTCATAATTCGTAAATATATTGTTGATTAGCTGTTTTGTGCAGCACAGTACTGGCAGTTACATTCCCACAGCAGTAACTTTTGTTGAGGTTACTGTGGCAACATGGTTATTTCTGTTATTTTGGTTTGTTAAGGTGCATGTGGGAAACTGGAGCCCAGAGTTGCTGTGCTGAATATGTTCTTGTTCTAAACAGGTATGTGAGTAATTCAAAATGTTATTTGGATGTCAAATTTATTTATTTAGTATATTTTTTATATTATATCGGAGAATTGTAATGATTGGGCAGATTATTTTTGTTTGGGTTTTATTTTGTTTTGTATGCAGATTTTACATAATTATCATTTAATTATTATAAATGAGAAATATTATTTTTATTATTATTATTATAATTAATTCATTTTATTATTATTTAACCTCTGTGAGAATTTTGGTTTGTTTTAATGCATTTTGAGTTCGCGCCAAGCTGCGCTGAGGAGAGGTGCATGTGGGAAACTGGAGCCCAGAGTTGCTGTGCTGAATATGTTCTTGTTCTAAACAGAAATAAACCGAAGCAAGTCTGATCTCTTCGACTCTTCATTCCACGACTGTTACACTGGCTCGGAGCTCGTCTGCCTGGCTGTGTGTTTCCTGGACGGGGCCGCCTGTGGAGCTGGTTGACAGTTGCCTTTTGTATCTATGCTTCTTTTTCTATGTCTGCTTCTGTCTCCTTGAACCCCAGTGGGCCTCAGCAGATGGCCGCTCACACTGAGCCTGGTTCTGCTGGAGGTTTCTTCCTGTTCAAAGGGAGTTTTTCCTCTCCACTGTCGCTACAAGCATGCTTAGTGTGAGGGATTGCTGAAGAGTCAATGAGTCGATGCAATCAGCTGGTTTTCCTTAGATAGAAAACTTTGAATCTATCTGTCTGGATGAGCTGTGAACTGTATTTATTTTTCATAGCAATGAAAAAATAACATGTCTTGCTACTTTTAAATTGATCAATATAGAACAAATGTCAATTTTGAAAGATGTCGAGTGTTTGTAAATGTAAGGTAACACCTATCTGTAAATGAGAGGCAGGCTGTGGACCCCCTCAGTTGATAAATTGTATCTTCTGTCTAAATCTTATGGAAGTTACTTTATATTGGATATAAGCTTGTTATCTGTTACATTGACAATATTTTTTTGTATATGTATGTTTGTGATTAAGAAAGTAGCTTGCTGTAAAGCTCAGCTAATGGAGTGTCCGAATAAAAAATTGATATAAAACATAATCTCTTTATCTTCAGTTGTCTTTAAAAGTATGTACGTCTGGATTTGTTTTGTGTCTCGTTGGCGCCTCCATAAAGCACTTTTGTTTACACTGTAGCTCAGCACCATCAGTTTGTGAATTGGTGAATTTATGTAAATCACTTTGGCCAAGTTTGACCGGAAAAGCACTGAATATGTCCAGGGCATTTAGCATTTAAATCTGC